AGGAAAAGGAACAGTAAACATTCAAAAATTGCTGAATGGAGAATGGTACAATGCTACTATAAATAATGTTCTATTTATACCCAGTTTAACGAAAAATTTATTCTCAGAAGGCATCATCACTGGCAAAGGTATGAAAATTTTAAAACAGAACGATTTTGCAGAAATTTGGGACAATAGCGGAGTAATCGCAACAGCAGTGAAAGACTATAATAATATTTATAAGATGATGTTTCGCACAGTCATCAATAGCGCAAATATTGTCATTCCCGAAAGTTTAAAGTTGTGGCATGAAAGACTTGGACACTTAAATGTGAACGCAATTCGGGAAATTGTTAAGAAAGGACTTATAACAGGCGTGAGTTTCAGCGACACTGACAAGTTCTTTTGTGAAGCATGCGCGTTTGGCAAACAGCACAAAATACCATTTGTTACAAAAAGTAAGCACGAAAAGCTAAATACCGGAGAACGTATATTTAGTGACCTCTGTGGACCTATGACCGTACCTTCAGTTTCGGGTACTCGATATTTTATGTCGTTGAAAGATGAATACTCGGGATATCGAGTAGTGTATTTCATCAAACACAAATCCGATGCGTTGGAGTGTTTCAAAATCTATAATCAAAAAGTCAAAACCAAATTCGGAAAACCGATCCATATATTGCACATGGACAATGGTAAAGAGTTCTGTAACATTGAGTTCCAAGATTATTTAGACAAAGAAGGAATTACTCTTGAAACAACCGCTCCATACACTCCAGAACAAAACGGCCGTGTTGAACGTGACAACCGATCAATCGTAGAAAGTGCTCGTTCTATGATGTTTCAAAGACAAATGCCAAAATATTTATGGGCTGAAGCTGTCAGCATGGCAGTTTATATTTTAAATAGAACTTTAACAAGTCAAACGCCAGATTCTACCCCATACGAAATTTGGACTGGACAAAAACCATTCTTGGGGCATTTAAACATTTTTGGCTGCGATGCTTATGCACACGTACCAGATGCGAGGCGAACCAAGTTTGAAGCTAAAAGTAAAAAACTAATATTCGTCGGCTATGACAAAAACTCTACTAACTATAGACTTTTTGATCCAATGACTAAGAAAGTAACAATATGTCGTAATGTAATTTTTAATGAGACTTCCAGAACTGTAAATATAAATGACATGGTTAAAATTAATCTAGAAATAGATGATATCACCGAATATCCAGAGATAGACACAAAGGATGTAGCCCAAGATGTTGTTGAACCTGAGATTCAGAATGAAGAGTCTGATCTGCGACCAAAAAGAAATATCAAGGTACCAGTAAGATATGAAGACTATCAGTTAAATTTTATTGAAGCAGATATTCCTCAGACGTACAAAGAAGCAATAAGCTGCACTGATGCTCAAAAATGGCAAGAAGCCATAAATGAAGAATTATCTGCTTTAAACAAAAATAATACTTGGCAGATAACGGAAATTCCACCCGATAGGAATATTTTGCATTCAAAATGGGTATTTAAGGTAAAAAGGTATCCCAATGGTGAGATTTCGCGCTATAAAGCTAGATTATGTGTAAAAGGTTGTGCACAACAACAAGGAGTTGATTATAATGAAATAAATATTTTCCCCTACAACACGATTCGACTCAATAAGGATACTCCTAGCAATAGCTGCAGAAAATTGCTATAAAATGATGCAATTTGATATTAAAACCGCCTTTCTCTACGGTGATCTAGATGAAGAAATTTTCATGGCTATTCCAGAAGGCTTACAGAATGTAAATAGTACAAGTAATACAGTTTGTAAATTAAGAAAATCGTTGTATGGTTTAAAGCAGGCACCCAAGTGCTGGAACAAGACGTTCAACAATTTTTTAGAAAAATGTGGGTTTATACGGTCCCAAGCTGATAGATGTGTATATCATGGCTACATCAATAATATTAAAGTGATTCTTGTCATTTATGTTGATGATGGTTTGTTAATATCCTCGTCAAAATTGGCAATTGAAGAAGTTTTAGATGAGTTGAAAAGTAAATTCGAAATAACAATCAGTGAAGTCAACTATTATGTTGGACTTGAGGTTTCAAGAAATCCAATTAACGGATCTATTTTTATTTGTCAAGAGAGTTACATTAAACAGATAATAGAAAAATTTAGATTAGAAAATGCCAAGCCTTGCACTACTCCTATGGATCCCAACTGTGATTTGTCTCTAGATTCAAGCAGGTTATTAGAAGAAGATGAGGTTCCTTACAGACAAGCTATAGGTTGCCTATTATTTCTAGCCACTGTAACTCGGCCAGATATAGCACATGCAGTGGGAGTATTAAGCCGGTATGTAGGTCAACCTACTGAAATGCACTGGAATGCTGTTAAACGGTTAATTAGGTATTTAATTGGAACCCCTGATCTTGGCATTCTATATGAAAAACAAAATAAATTAAGTACCTTGGTCGGGTACTCAGACTCGGACTACGCTGGCGATCGTAAGACTCGAAGATCGACTAGTGGATATTTGTTCAAATTATGTAATGCTCCAATTACTTGGTCAAGTAAAAAACAAAATAGTGTTTCTATGTCTACTACTGAAGCAGAATACATCGCTGCATCGGATGCTGTTAAAGAAGTAATTTGGCTTCAACAATTTTTAATAGATGTTGGTGAAGATGATAAGGTTGTAAAGCCTACAATTTTATTTATTGATAATCAAAGTGCTATAAAATTGATAAGAAATCCTGAATTCCATAGTCGATCAAAGCATATCGACATTCGATATCATTTTATACGGGAAAAATATGAAGCTGGTGATATTATACCGATGTTTAGTAAAACTGATGATCAAGAAGCAGACATTTTTATAAAAAGAAATTTGAAGAACTCCGCAATAAAATGGGAATTACTTCTAAAAGCTTTGTTAAATAAGATGTTTTTTTGGTTAACATGAAACTTTTCAAAAAGTGGGAGTATTAAGATTTGCTTTTGTTTTTGCAAAGTTTTACATGTTTTTGTTTTTGGTTTTTTAGAAAAATGACTGATATATGTAATACGTCAGATTTTGATTAAAAAAAAACAGTTCTTTCCTTTAAGTCTTGGTTATTGCTTTTTTTTTCGGTCCTCTCAACAAAAACAATAATTTTTTTTTAAATTGACGCGATCATTTTCTTTCTTTCAAATTTTTGGTAATTTATAATAATTTTGCAAAAGCCAGACGATAGGCTCGAAAGTCGCTTTCGTCGTGTAAACGAGATTTCGTGTTGACTTCGATCGAATGCCCAGCGCCGTGCATTAATTCCGTAACTTGTAAAAAATTATTTCTCATATGCACGAGTGTATTTAATTCAATTTATTTTTTTTGTAAATTAAATTTTTTCTTCGGTAAATTTATTTTGTTCCGTTTAGTTAATTCGACTTGTTTATTTTTGAAAATTAATTTTAATGTATGTGAAACAAATTATTTTCTGTATACAGGGCGTAGCATAATTTCCTCCTGGATAACAAACCGATTGCTTAATTCAATTTATTTTTTTTTGTAAGTTAATTTTATTTTAGTAACTTTATTTTCCGTATACAGGTTGGAGCATAATTGTTTCCTGAACTTTTATCCTTTATCTAATTCGATTTATTTGTTTTTGAAAATTAACTTTAATTTAAAAAAAAATATTTTCTGTATACAGGGTGGAGCTAGTTGCTTCGTAAATTTTGAACCGTTTGTTTAATTTAACCTGTTTGTTTTTGAAAATTAATTTTATCTTTATGTAAAAATTATTTTCTGTATACAGGAGCTTAATTGTTTCTGCTATTTTGAACCGTTAATTATTTCAATTTATTTTTTTTGGGAATTAATTATACTGTTGGTGTACAATTTTAATTTAGGTAAAAAATTATTTTCTGTATACAGGGGGAATTATAAATTCCCGTATGATTGATTGTTTAATTTTCTTGTATAACTCAACCGATCTTTCTGATCGCTGTTCTTGTGTTAAGAATTTGTTCTCCGTATACCGGGGAAACCAATACCCGACCGAGGTGTTATTTTATTTGGAAATATGTATTTTGTTATTTATCCCTGAGTTTCTTTTATTACCGGCTCTCAACTGTTTTCTTTCAGGGTACCGTAGGGTATAAGGTATAAGGAAGATAAGTGCTTTAATACTAATTTAGTGGCTACCTTTAGTAGTGACCGCCTGGAATTTTATTTTTACTCCACTGAGTTTACCTTGAGTACACTCTGGAATGCTACAGGGTCGCAGAGCCAACTGTATTACCAAAACTGGCGCCCGAACAACCCCTATTCTTAACTCATCATCATAGCGCCACAAAGACTTCCCGATTCTTTGTAAGTGGAATCGGAAGCATGATAAAATCCCTATAACTCCTGGGAAAAATGTCTTTGCCTCAGATTTTTTAGGATCCATCCTTTTTACGAAAAAGTTCTTTCAGAATTCAGAAGTTCTATTTTTATATATTAATATATGATATTACTACTCTCCGTTCTCCCTTTCAGTTTTGCCATACGTGTAATTTTTAATAATTTATATTTTTTTATTTTAAATTTTCCTTAATCAGATATGCAATTTCCCCACAGTTCACGTAATCTCTTTTGTTCTTTCTCAAAACCACCCATTATGTTTACGTTACCTCAAACACGTAGCAACTGCCGCTCCAACACAAATGCATTGTCTCGCATGCATATAAATCGACAGGACTAAACGCACAAAAATGTGGCATCACATCAATGCCTCACCGTCCATCCTTCTGAATTTAGTCATATAGACGGCGAGGCATCAACGTTCAGCCACGAAAAAAAAAAAAAAAAGAAAATGAAATAATTGACAAAAACTTAAAAAAAGTTTTGTTGAAACATAAAAATGACAAATTAAGCTTTATCCGAGTAAGATAAGTGCCAAAAAATTTCTCGTCCTTCGACATGACTTTTATTTCTTCACTCCCGTGCTCAACGTGTTAAGTGATTGAGAGTTGTATGTCTGATTTGTTAAAATTAGTTATGACTTACATTCTTTTTTGTCATCACTTTGCCAGTCAAACTCTCCATTGTCGATAAGCTCTAGGAATTTGTTCTTTTTTTTGAAATACATAGCCAAATCAGTCGACAAAATTGCAGTCTCTACTATTCTCATTACTTTACGGTAATCATCAGGATTTAACGCCTGAAAAAAAAATAGTGTCATAATTTACTTGATACATTTATTTTCTGTGAAACGTGATGATTATAGAGGAGAATAGTTGAAGATGACGCAATTGTTCAATAAAGATACATTTTAAAGGACCCCACACTTTTTACATTGATTTTGGGTACTGTCAGAATTTGTTCAAATTTTAGTGTTATTTTTCATGTCTTTAAAGGCAACTTTCTTCTTATGGACCCCAACTTTGTAGCTCTATAGGGTGAGCTGTTAAGCTGAGCTCAAACGACTCGTGTACTTGGCAAATACACAATTATTTGCGTTCTTGGCAAGTATATGACTCGGGTCATTTTTACCGACCACAAATGGAAAACCAACGAGTGACAAATAATTGTACAAGTAACCCACTCAAACGACATGGCAAGTATACGCAAGTAACGATTATTTGCCAAGTACACGAGTCGTTTGAGCCCGGCTTTAGAATGACTCAAAAGTAAGGGGTGCAGAATTAATATTTTCAAATATCTCAAATAAATGATACAGCGTGTTCAAAAAATTAGGAATATCAGTTACGGAAATAGGTACATTTTTCATGTATTAGTATTGTTAGAATATGACTTCTGACCATTTTTGTTGTTTCATTTCATACTAAATCATTTTTATAAGTAATACAGGGTGCGATAGGGCTATACAAATAACTAATAATTACAGAAATGCATTTAAAGAAAAATTTGGTATCTAAAATATTGTAGAGTCTTAAAACAAATTCAGTTTTGCTCGTATTATAATCATAGTTCTTTTTAACTAAAAAAATCCCGTTCTACGCCTACTTAAATAATATAGAAATAATTCTACTAATTTTGACTTGAATGAATGATTGAGGAGAACAAATATTCTAAACAAAAACACTTTAAAATTAAGTTAAAATATTTACCCATAATTCACATCGTACACAAAACTATACTCTACACTTTACAATACAAAACGAGGGCTTTCGCCCCTGGGGCGAAAGTTCAGGGGGGTTATTCTCTAACTTTCAGTCGAAAACGTATAGCAATGAAAGCGCCAAGCGGACTTCTAAACAAAGTTCGATTACCAAAAGGACAAGCATGCGTTTATTGTATTCTCTAACGCTAGACGCTTTTGCTATTCGCAAGTGATTTTCATTTTGGTCATAAGCTGTTAAAATTATAAATAGTAAATGTTGATTGGTCTGAATAACTAAGGTTAGTATTTGAATGTCATTTTGACAAAAATATAATTTTTTTTTATTCATTTGGTGTCATCGGCGTCGACTACTACGGCCATTAGCCTCTTGTTCTGTGTAGGCTTTGTTACTGTTTCCCATCGCCACTTTAGGAACAGCACTGTTAATTAGAACCCAACAGTGAATGGTCGAGTGGGGAATCCTACCAAGGCAGCAGAATTAATTTTAAATAATTAAATTAAATGAAAAAATCCCGGCCAACGGTGGGATTCGATCCTGAGACCGTCCGATCTCAAAGTCATGACTCTAACCACTGAGCCAACCCACCCCCAATAATATAATTAATAATTAATTCATCATTAAAAACGAACGCGGTGAAAAACCAATTCTCAAGGGCCCGAACTGAAGCCCTACTGGAATATATTGAGGACAATCGCAATATTATAAAAAACCAAACACATAATAATCAGCATACAGCTGCTGAGTCCAAAAAATGTGGAAGGACTTGATAGATAATTTAAATGCTATCCCCGGAGTAATCCAAGACCGGAAATATTGGAGAAAGGTATGTATTATTGTCTGTAATAATATTAATTAATTAATGGCAATACAAAAATAAATATATTGTATAAACAAATTATTATTAACACCTAACACTTGCAGCTAAAGAAAGTACAAGCTTATTTTAATTAGTTTTAATAATAACAAGATTAAAAATATTATGAACGAATTCTTAGCTTTATAAATATTATGTATATAATATTACCTATAGTCACGATATAACGACTTTAACGTAGTCTCTGCTTTTAGTCTTGTAGTGACATCAAATCTAGAAACAATAAATCCTATATAAAAACCGGTGGGAGGACAGAAGAGATGGAAGAAATAATAAATCTGAAAGTTTCTGCCAATATCCAACTGATAATTATCTCCTACCATGAAACGGAGTGCTGCTAATAACTAAAATATGAGAAATTTGAAAATTAATATTTTATATCATCTAAATTATTTAAATCTGTGTAGGTACTTACTTTTCTATTTACAGTCAATGCAGGTTTAGTTGTGGATTCGGCACTAAGCAGGGTTCAATGAGAGCCGCTAAGTTAGTCACATCATCCTTTCGCAAACGAAATAGCTTAATAAATTGATTATCTGAAAGTTCAAAAGCATTCTCCGGATTATAGTAGCGTCGGATATTGAGATTTTCCGAATCTTCGATGTTTTGAATAACATTTTGATATATATTAATGTTTAAGTGTTTGGCTTATCTACGTTCACAAATCTTAGTCTATGTCCAAACTTGAAGTGCGAACAGCACAACGCTGCTCATCTGTAACTTTTTTGAAAGCGCTTTACGTTTTTCAACTGCGCACGGCACAGCAAGTAGAGAATACCAAAACGTTCGTGCTATACGCTTTTGTCAGTTGTTTGTCGCGTTTCTAGAGAGACGCGCTAAACGCTTTCAAAAACGTTGGTTATAGAATAAGCCCCCTGGACCATAGTCCGATCTCGACTGAGAGTTTACCCAAATGATCCTTTCTATATAAACCAAAATTAACGTGATGGTTGATTGTATTTAACAATGTCAAGTTCAATGTAGATTAATAATTTGAAGGTTTGTTTCATTTTCATACGTGTCTTTTTAATTATTTAATTTAAACATTAAATACTTGTTTAGAATTTTTGGTAAATTCTTTAGATTTTTTCAAATAATAATAATAATAATGCCAATTATTACAATGTATTTTTGCAAAGATATTCGATATTTACGACATGTTATTTATTAAGGACTATTTTAGACGCTGCTGAATGATGAGTCGATTTTGGTGGTGTGTAAATAGTTTTTTATATTGATTTATTATTTAGTGGGAAGTCTAAATCTATGTTAAGAAACTGTTATATTTTTGTAATAAATAATATTTTAATTTGTTTGTCACACCCTGTATTATTAATAAATATTATCTAGTATTTAATGTAACAGATAAGTGATCAGAAGTCATGTTCTCATTATGGTAATACATGAAAATGCACCTTATTTCAGTAATTATTATTCTTATTTTTGTGAATACTCTATATTGTTTATTTTACACAGTGGAAGTAAGCATTAACAAACTGTATACATGCCATAAGTTTCATGAAAAAAACATGAATTACTTAAGTGTGGTAGAGATATATGTGACAATATTTTTTCTGCACTCGTTACTTTTGGCTTCTAACATCTCACCCAGTAGAGTTGCAAACTTGAGGTCCATAAGAAAGTTACCCATAATGACCTGAAGAGTAATATACAAAAATTTAAATAAATTCTGACTGTACCCAAAATCAATATAAAAAGTGCGGGTCCTTTCCGAGAATTCTCTTTATCTTCATAATTCTGAAAGCGAACGAAAACAAGCAAAGAGAATAAAGAGAAAAATAATAAGTGACAGCGAAATCGATGATCTGAATGAAAATGACAATTGCGATGATCATAAACTGGATGATTTTCGCGGAAATTCTCAATTTGAACAGTGCAGAATTTGTGATGAATTTGGAAAATGCATTGAGGTGTAGTACCAGTGTAGTACAGCTGTACACTATGTGGCAATAGATTCCCATTCAAATATATTTGATCGTAATCTAAATAGTAAAATCTAGACTTGTCTGTCGTATTTATTAATTTTTACTGTTAGATATTCCTTTGTTCCTAATGAAATACAGCAAAATAAAATACGATATGAACATACTGCAATTTTAGAAATCCTTATTACAAGATTTCATAGCTAACCCACCTACTTGAAAAATATTATTGCTGTCGGTATTGAGGATCATAACGCACTGATCGAAATGATGATGCTCCATGGTGCTTGTAGAGTACAAAACGGCCAAAGGTGAGTCTGTCTTCATTTGAAAAGCATTATTAGTCCCTCGGTGGTCCAAATCATGACACAGACAAGCTACTATAAGGCCCAGGATCTCTAGATCGCTCATAAACCTGAAAAATTAGAATTATAATGAAATTCGTTTAGTGGTGATATGCCATGATCAAATGGTAATTGGCTCCCGAAAACCTCACATACTTTGTGTGTGGTTTGCAACATTAATGATTAATGTTATACGGCATTAATTTATTTAGTGCTGTATATCCAAGCCTTTCCTTCTACTTTTCAGATGAGATGATAGAGATATCTATAGAATTTTGTATTACCTTTCCATTTTTCCGGTTTTAAACATGGCAAACATCGTTTGAGCGACATTGAGTGCGTGCCTCCAATTGTGATATTTAACAGGTCTGTAGTTTTTCTTCACACTCAATATCCATCGACACAGGACCTAAAAATTATTGTATGTGATCACAGAGAACTAGAATATGTTGGAAGAGTGGAAACCCACTAGTTTTGTTTCAATTAACAATATAGATATAGTCCAATGTGATATTACAAGACGGAAAAAATTATAAATACTTTTTAGTAGTTTAGGTTTCGTTTTGATTATTGGGCTATTCAGAGAAGAAAATAACACTTGATTAGAGAAACGGTTATTAAAAGAAATAATGAAATACGCCAATGAAAATGTGGTGGGACTATTTTTATTTCATGGAAGATAATTGACCATGTAAAATATATGTGACCTATCCCATCTTAGATAATAGGTGGAGGTGATGACAATCAAACATCAAATGCCATAATCATTTAACAGTATGAGTAACATGCTTGTGGAATAAACAATTTTAACTGTTATAAATTAGACATGCCTTAAAGGAGTTAGCCTTTTTAGTTAATAAACATTTAATATCAACTGTAGTGGTAATAATAATCTCTTTTGAACTTAAATATCAATTCATCACACCAAAAGTGGAAAATGGCGCTATGTCGCCCTCCTGAATTTGTTCGATTTGATCTTTCTTGAGAAATAAACCGTTAATTCGTTACAACTTTAATTATCGAATAACTTTCTAATAACGCATTTCGAATGAAATAAATTAAAATGGCCAATAACAGTGAATGAAAATTTACCGGCCAGGTCAAGAGGTTGATTTACAATGAATTCAGATGCTGTAAATTTTGGTTTAAACAATGAGACGGTTACAACTTCTGCTCACTTGCAAAATGGACACTGATTAACTTGTTGATCTTTGTAACGAGGTGTAGGCAAAACTTCTTTAACATTCTCTGTGGAGTGTTGACACTGTTTGACCTTTAAGATTTGATGGATATGTTCCGGGTGTGTCCAAAAGATACAGGACGCCTACTTTACTGTCTGTGGCAAATGATTTGTCCAATACCATCCTTCTTTTTTCACATGCACACATACGCCTGTTTTAAGATGTTATGTTGGGAATGGGGTGTTAATACACTGAGACCTAAAAGATTCATTGTGCCCCCGCCCCTTCTGTCGCTAATGTAGCAAGGAAATGTCTTAATGCCTATAACGACCTTTCCAATTTTGTCTTCTCAAGGAAGTGTAGGATTTGGAATGGCTTTAAGTTTCGTAAATCTCCCTCTTCTATTTGATATGCTGCTATAGTTTATGCAAAACAAAGTTTGATGCACATCACTAATGTCGTCATATTTCTCAAGCATTGTGCCCACCATTAGAAATAAACACATAAAACAGATTAAGTTTAATACCTACAAAATTTAATTTAATATTAACAAGGGATGATAGAAAATGTTAAGAAGCAGAAATAAATCATCCAAGAAAAATATACATCCAACTTTGTTTTGCACAACCTATATGTATAGTGCCCTTGGATTCTGGAGTATACATTCAGTCAGAATGTGAATGGAGGTTTCGTCCTCATCCTCCTCACAGAATCTGCACTCACTATCTTCTACTACTCTTAGTTTTACTAAAGTGTCGTTTTAGTCGGCAATGCCAAGTAAGGACCCCTGTTACAAAACGTAGCCTATTCTTGCACAGGCAGATTCAGGCTTCCGATCTTCTCTGGTTATATTCACCCAGAAGTATCTTAGACTGTTTTTGTCCCAAGAGATTGTTCCAATTATCGGTTCTTCTACTGATCAATTCTTTTTAATTTCTCCAAATATTATAATACTGCTGATACTGCAGAACGGCTCAGGTTCCACAAAGGGTATTTGAGCCCCTTTCCTTTCGAGACTATCTGCATCTGCATTTGCAATCTCGTTACCCTGTACCTCGTTATGTCCCGGGACCCAAGTGAGACTGCTTTAAGATACAGACTGGACCTCAAAAACTATGGGTGGTAGCATTTTGGGAAATAATTTTTATGATATTAATGGCCAAGAAAACGATTTGCAAGTTTCTCACTTCGCCAATAGATGGCATGATGTTTATGACAATGATAAACATATAAATGAGTGAATAGACACAAATGAGTAAAGAGTAAGATTTTCATAGTTTTGACAACTTAGAATTGCATTAAAAAACGGGTTTTTATCAATGGCCATAGCATTACGCTCCCAAGCAGCGAACCAATCTATTTAAATATAATTTCAAGAAACTTCAAGAGCTACTTATATTAAAAAAATACATAAGGAGAATAAACTATTTTTACCGATAATAAATTTCTATAGAGGACCGGTCCACGTGATTATAATTGTTGCTTAATATTATATTTTAATTAGAAAACTGTTAAAAAATGATAATGGAACCAACCTCATACGGTATATGAAACTGTTGCACCAAATTACACTCCAAGAACATCCTAAGAGTAGCTTTACAAGTGTCATCATCAGACAATTCGAAATCAATAAAAGTAAAACTGTACAAGTTGAAGCAACCCGCAGATGGAATATCTTCCTGAACCAACTTTTCGGTCGCTTCGTTGCTGGCTGTAGCGTGATATGACAGACATTCCAAAGCTACTTTTTGCTTGGCCATCAGCTTGCAGGCATTCTCGTACATTTGGGTGTTGTGAATACCCAAACCGCAAAAGATGGCAAATGCTTCAAATAAGGAAACGTCGCATTCTGTAAACGGAGCGTTGTTTTCTTTGTTGATTAGTTGAGCGACGCCTAAAAGCAGACGAACTATGTTAAAAAGTAAATAATTTTATATAAAGGCGGGAAAGCTTAAGGTATCAAATTTAAGACCTCTATATACTGTAATTTGTTTCTGATACATACACATCAGACGCCCTTGCGGTTTGAAACATTTTATAAAAGAATATGTTAAAAATACTAACCATTTTTAATATAAAAAATAATTCATAAAATAATTTTGACACGGTACTGTTCACCTCAAACGCTGACATCACAGAAAAGAGAACAATACAGAAAAGAAACATAGGGCTAGTTTCACAGAGATACTTTGAGAAAACGTATATATTCACAGAACACCTAGCTCTGTGGTGTACTGTAAATAGTTACGTTATATTAAAAAAATTACATCCTTAACCAATTTTTTTACAAACCTTTTCATACGCACTTTAAATGAGTATTTTGTGACTTTATATGAGTGTATTCAATTAGCAAAGTGTAAATAAGGGCACTTTACCCTTGAGTTCATTTTTGATTTCCCTTGTATGAAGGCATTTATTTTAAATTTTATTTAATTTTTTGATTTTAGACAAAGCACCAAATTTTATTAAAAATTCATCCTAATAAGAAAACTTTCAAAATGAGTCTACCTGTATATATAATTTATATTTGTGCATATTGTAAATAAGAATAATATCGTTTTCTCTTAATTCAAGATAATTTTAAGATATTATTATGGCAACACGGCGTCGAAACTTTCTCTAGTTTTGCTCCATCCGGCACCTCTAACTTAGGTTCTGAACTAAAATTCAATATGGACGCAACAAAATTATCAATTTTACATGAAATAGTAATTTGGGCACAGTTTAAAAAGTACACAACATTGATTATTAAAAGTTGGCAAGAATATTCAAAAAAATATGTAGAACGCTCTCTAAAGTTTTTTGAACTGCATCTGTGACTATCACATTTTTATATTTTTTAATAGTATTTAACAATTAGTAGGACAAATGAAACTGTCTCATTGCAATAATTAAACATTTTACTATAAGCCTGCCAAAGCTTCACTAAAATCTATCCAGTAAAAGATAAGTTCTGTAAATAAATGTAAACCTCTATTTTGATTGTAAAATACACGGAAAATGGCGGCCTTAAGAAAGATGGAGACAAAATTAATATAATTGATACATTTTGAACGTGAGAAAAGTTGAAAGATTGACATACAAGTATAAACAATAAAAACAATAATAGAGGGTTTTCACATGTTCTGATAACGTGAAACGACTCATCATCGAATCATCAACGTTAACTTGACAGCTACTCATGCGCAATATGTGTTTCCAATAAGGAGGACGTTAATTGTGTTATCTTCCAACGCAAGTAAGGTACTTTCAAGGTTAACCTACATGTCAAATTTAATAAATAACTTTTTGTCCCCATTAATACCTTTTTAGGCCTAATGTCATGTCAGTACAGTTATCGCCTCTGTACCTGTGACTACTGTCAAAGGTAACAAAAGAGTCTCGATATAAACACCTTCGACTGTTCATAAATTCATGTTCTTTTTTGTGAGAATAATTTCATTTGATTGAATTAAATTGAAGCAGTTTGTAGTTTTTTTTTGTGGTTGCATAAATAGAAATTACGAGGTTATTTTAAATGTATTCTTTTATTCTTATATTAAGGCTTAATGTATATGCAACATAAATATCGTTGACTCTAATAGTACCTAACGTTAGGTCACTTTTGCAAAAAAATGTCTAATTTTCACGAGAGTAAACTCCTCGAAAGGAGCCATGAGCTTAAAAGACTAATTTTGATATTACCTATTAAAGTTCGTTTTCCATTAATAATAGGCATACAAAGAATAGTTCTAGCGGTTTCTGCATCTCCTTCGTTATGTTGCTCCTTCAACCATGATCTGACATCACCAACGTTTAAAATTTGACCAGTTGAGGCCGCATAGCCTGCTATCTGTGCCAGCGTTGACGTCGCCAAATCATATGAAGATGGTCTGTAATAAAATTTTCATTTATTAGAAAAAGAGAATGTTTTAATAATTGAAATAAATTAAAATAACTGCCGCTAATATAGTTTTTGGCTGTTTCCTCGGTTCTAAAGTTCTTTTATCTTTATTGCATAACACCTATTATTAATCCACTTTGATTTAAGTATTACATTTCCTTATTAAAGTCATATTAAGATTTGAGTGTAGAGGACCGGCTTCCTCTAACCCTTGTCGTAAAAACAGATGCCCAAGAACAATTTGTCTTTGACCTCTTAAGATTTCCAATACCGTCAGGATGCTACTTCTATTTAGATTTATTAGCGACTGTTTTTTGCCAAAATCCCCTTTAATAATAATGAAACGGTGGTGGTTGGAACATAAGATGGTTTAGTAATATTTCTGGTAAGGACGTAACATGCTCACCAGCGTCGGTGTTTAAATATAGAAATTAGACGTTTATTGAATTTTATAGAAAAAGAGCGAAAAGGGTAATTGTGATGTACCTAAAAGAATACCCAAGTTTTTAAAATAGTTGATAATATAGAGATGAAGCCAGAATAGTCCTTTAAATCTCTCAAAATATGTATATTTTAAAAATTAAAACCGGTTTTAAAGTTTAAAAAACTTCACCTAGTGGAAGAAGGAGAATAAATGGGTGAATATAATGAAAATTTTAGATGCCTTTTCTTACTACATACAATTATTTTAAGAAAAAACATGGACGTAAAGTTCAATCAAAATTATATTTCCTGAATTAAGTAAAATATGAGAATGTAACACATAGAATGAAAGAAGAAAAATATAAAAACATTCATAAAAAACTCATATATTCTCTAAAACTATTATAAATACAATATACAAGCTAATAATTTAAAAAGAATGGCCATATCTCATAAACTAAAGATGGAGAAATGAAACCTAATGAAAATAATTTATTTTGTACTCCATTCTGGACTAGAAATATTTAAAAATATTAAATTTAGATAAATATGCCATCTTCTTTTTAAATAGGTTTTAATTATTATATATAACACATTTAAACCGCTCTGTATATCGTTGAAAAGCGAAATGTTGATAATAGGTATACATATTTTGTGAGATTTAATAGACTTTTTGTAAAATTAACCTCAACACACACATATGCCAGTATCAAAAATTATTAGTTGCAATTTTTACACTCTTTATAAAATATCAACAAGTAGAAGGTATCGATAAAACCAAAAACATATTTTTTAGTTTCTAATGTGTTTTGTAAAAAATCTGGAGGCAATTTTCCAAAAAAAATGCGTATTTATTTGCTAAATTCAAATAATACAATTTTATTATAACATAAAACATTTACTTACAAAAAGAAATTAAACCAGAAATATATTTACCTACTAATTTTGTTTGTTAATTCAAATGAAGAAGCTACTGCAGATGTATAGTTACTGAAACAGAAATAAATTAAATTAAAAGATATGGATTTACAGATTCCAAAAAATAATTTCGGCATATGGGTTTTATATTGCCTTAAACCGAATCTGAAAAGTAGTTGACCAGTTGATAATATAAAAGATTAAGGTGGACGGGGTTTCCCGAGTTTTCCGCACCTGTAAGTCAAATGACACCATTAGGTAATCATATATGTAAGTCATCCCGGAGCATTTGGTAAATAATAATAATCACCTCTCCCCGATTTGTTCATTTGAAGAGCGGTTAATTTTGGTAATTTTGATTATTAAAATTTTGTCTTGTCTGTTGTCGTGGTTGTGAAACGGGTTGTCTAATTAGATCTGTATTCTGAAAATTTTGGAAGTAGTGTATGTTATTTTCTTCCAAAACACACTATAGTGCATAATTTAATGAGTTAGGTTTCATACAACGAATCGTAGTACCAGGGGCGGCTTGTGACCAAAATTTTGGGGGTTCACAGTAGCAGAATATAGATCCCGGTTAGGTTAGGTTGAAAATGAGTGGGATGATCACATCGCCTTCCACTGCGACCCAGATGGGTCTATTGTGGCTTATGACTAACTTATAGTTCACCGTATAAGCCACACCTTTTGATAAAGGTCATGGTTGAATTGGGTGAGACTTCTTTAAAGTCGGTAGGCTCCAGTTGGGTAAATCCGAAGATCTGTAACCTGGTTCTTTCCAGAGCTAACCAGGTACCTAAAATGTGCTCTGCAGACTCGTTCTCCACGCTGCAGAATCGACAGTCCGATATTTGTTGCAGACCTATCCTTCTCATGTGGTTGCCCAGACGGCAGTGTCCTGTCATCAGTCCAGTGAAAATGCGTAGATCTTTTCTACTTCATTATGGGTTAGCCCTGGGGTATCTATCCAGTTCATGAGTGATGATTCCTTTAGCAGTGCTTTTTTGCAATGCCCAGGAATGGTTCTTGTCCTATGAACACAGATTCGGTTCCTCTTTTAGCAAGTGCGTCGGCTTTTTCGTTGCCCTACACCACTGTGTCCCGGAACCCAGATCAAAGTAACTTTGTTCCGGGTACCGAGGCACTCTAGGGTATTTATACAGTTCCAAACCAGCTTTGAGTCTACTCAATTGGAGCTCAGGGCCTTAAGGGCTGCCTGGCTATCTGAAAAGATCTTTATAGTCTTGTTTGCGGGGAGAAAATTAATCAACTCTCTCGCTCCCAATTCTATAGCAATCATTTTTGCTTGAAAGATCGTGGCCAGAGAGCCTAGGTTTATTGATATGTCAGCTCTAGGCCTCTGGCCGAAAACTCCCGCTCATACTCCTTTTTATGTTTTGGAGCCGTCCGTGTATAACGCATAGTCTGCCTGGGAGAGGGTTTTTCCCCTCGGCTCCATGCGTCTCTCTCTGGAATAAGGACGCTGTATGGCTTTTCTATGTGCTGTCGGGGAACTAGTGAGTCCGAGACTATGCCGAGGATGAGGTGGTTATTAATTTCACTCATCAGCTCCGTCTTGTTCCATCGCAGTTCTTCGTAACATTGACTACCCACTTTCAGGAGCCTGTAGGAGACCATTCTGGCCTCCCTTTCCAGCAGAATGTGGAGAGAGGTTAGGTCCAGCATGATCTCCATGGCTCCCGTAGATGTAGTTGACATTGCTCGAGTTATGGCGAGGCACGCAAAAGCCGCTGTATTCCAGCCAGTTTTGCTCTGGCCGTCCGTTGGAGTCCCTTGTCCCACCACACGACAGAGCCGTACGTAACCATGGGTTTTACCACTGTTTGGTAAATCCAATAGATCAGTTGAGGACTGATCCCCCATGCTTTGCCGCATATCTTTCTAAGGGTCCAGAGGGATAATCTGGCTTTATTGATGGTTTTATCCAATTGGGGGTTCCAGGTGAGTTTCTTATCTAGGGTGATTCCCAGATATTTCACCTTCTCCGCAAAACGAATGGTTTCCCCAGCCAAGGTAGGTTGTCGAAGCTTGTCGAGCTTTCTTCTCTTGGTGAAGGGGACAATAACAGTTTTGCGGGGGTTAACAGACATCTGCTCCCTCTCGCATCATCTGTTGATCGTATTAAGGGCTTGTTGAAGGATGTTGGAGATCACCTATTCGAACTTTTCCCTAATTATGATAACCAGATCGTCCGCATAGCTTTGGGAATCCACCCCCTGTCGGGAGAGATCGCCTAGCAGGATATCCACCAGAATAGTCCAGTAGGGGTGAAAGTACGCCGCCTTGTGGACATCCTCTAGCAGGCTTGAAAGTAATAGTCTCTCCCTGTAGTGATGAAGTGATGTTCCGGTTTGCCATCATGCTTTTGATCCAATTACAAGTTAGTTTATCAATTCCTTTTCTTTCAATAGAAGAGAACAAAGACTGAGTAAGGGCGTTGTTGAACGCGCCTTCTATATATAGAAAGGCACCTAGCGCAATCTCCCCGTGATTTAGGGAATGACCGATTTTGCCTACTAGATTGTGCAGGACATGATCTGTCGATTTGCCTGCTTAATAGGCATACTGAGAGGAGTTTAACGGGTTTGCCCGAAGACCTCCTGCTCTAATATGCCTATCTATAATCATCTCTAGTGTTTTTAGAAGAAAGGATGTTAGGCAGATTAGACGATAAGAGTTTGGTAGGGAGGTATCTACTCTACCAGCCTTGTGTATATACTCGACTTTCGCCAACGTCCATCCTAGTGGGATATAGCTCCACGCCAGGCTTGCTCTAAACAACCTCACAAGGAGGGGTAGCAGGAGTTCCTGTCCTTTTTGTAAAAGGGCGGGAAAAATGCCATCCTCTCCGAGTGATTTGAAGGGGGGAATGAATTCATCGCCAATTTCACGGCGTTTGGAGAGACAATTTGTGCAACAAAGTTCCAGTCCTCCTTTTTGGGTCGTATAATCGATTCCGTTAAAGGAAGGGGTACATGTTGCCTGTCTTCCAGGATTCGACTGCCTGGGAAGTGTTTCTGTAAATCTCTAAAGTTTCCGTATAGGTGTTGTCGGGTCTTCTTATCGAGCCGACTTCCTGCCTCGGATCTTTGGCGAGAATCTTGTGAAGTCAGGTAAATCTGATATACTGTGACAGAACTTCCTCCACGATTCTCGATTGGCCTTTATGGTACAGATATAGGTAAAAAACTTTTAGAAAGGTATGTAATAGACTTTCTAAAACACTGAAAGTTTTTTTCTGTACTGATACCTATATTCTGTCACTGTAAACCCCACTACGAGCCGCCTCTGCGTGGTACCTGGAGGTTCTTTAAGACCTGACAAAAATGTCTTTAAAACTAATTTATTATAAAGATCCCTTTTTAGTATTTTACTCTCAGCACTTTCTTCATGTAAGCCTACAAAGCTACAGGGAGATTTAATATATTTAAAACCCTGTCATAAAATTGTTGAGGTTCTTCATTAGGATTTTGTCTAAGCAAAACTAAGTCACGATTTAAACAAGATTCGTCCCTTTGGTCAGCAAAATTTTTAGTAAGCATATCTTTCAAATTTTTCCGAGTTGTGATATTTTGAATGTTCACCATTTGCTATATAAAAATTAGCAATGATTGAATCACAAACTGATAAATATCGATACAGCTCGTTCGGATTTCCGTCGAATTCAGGCACGCAATGCAAATATTGAATGCCGGCTTGAATTAGGCCATATTTTCAGAATTTTCAAAATTTGTTTCACTATTTGTTAGGAAGCGAAAAATTTATATTTTGTGAATCTGTAGTTTCAGTTAAATCAAATTGAGAGTTATCACAGAGTCAGTTAAAGTGTTGTCAATACTTAGGTTTTCTAGAAATCCATAGTGATTCAATAGACATAAATAAAAGTTACTCACATTAAAATAAAACCGATTTTGAGCATAAATCTGCCTATCAATATAATGATTCGAATTTTCTTCCAAAATTCGTTAACCTTGCAGAACTGGACGATTTTGTTCCAATCCTCGTTGCTATTCGACTTGGGGTTCTTCAATGGGTCTTCGATAGACAGGGTTTTTCGATTTCTTGAGAGCCACTCCACATCCAACACCTTCACTTGCGAATCACAACAGTTTAATTGTTTGATATCAGCCGTGTGAAAACAAAATTAGATAACCATGATATAATTTATCATGATCTTCCATTGGGGAAAGATTTAGTTTCGCACAAAATAAAACAAGAGTGGATTCGGAGGTGCCGTAGAGCCGATAATAAGCCAGATTTGTTCTGTCCGTTTTATCGGCAATGATTATGAAAGAGACCTTCATAATGAGTTATTGGGTAATTGGGTTTGCCAGAGAGGAGGCGATTAAAGAAAACTGCAGTCCCTACTTTAATTCTTGCGAATAATGAAAGTAAAGATAAAACTTTAAAGAAGAAATAACGGGAAAGTCGAATATTGAAAAGAGAACAGAACAATAGGGTGGATGATTGTTTAAAAGAATATTCTAAAATTTCCACACATTTAGAGGTTAATGAAAGCAGCACAATTGAAAGCGAAAACAGTGTCGTTAAAAGTGTTAATCGGGAGCAAAAATATAATAAAGATGATTTTAAAATTATAAAAAATAAAAAAGACAATATGTTTACACAATTAAAGCAATTATATTTTTATTAAAGCAAATATTAGAGACAAAAAAAAGAAACGTGTTCACTGGACATTTGAAGCAGCTGCATCTGCTTTTACCTTGCGATATTACAGCAAAAAGGCATATCTGTATGTAAAAGAGCAACTATATTTCCACTTCCTGGTTTGTCATTTATAAATGAAGTCTAGTGTATTAAAATGTATGCAGTTGGACAGAGAATCAATAAAAGGCACTCTGTATTATGTGTACTATTTATGTACTAATTGTGTAGGATTGTCAACAATCCAGCGATGCTGATCCGGAGAAAAAAATGTTATTTGAGGAATACGCGCAAACGACTTTTTTGCTTTTCGGTCATCAACCTAATTTTAATATCCGAGACCTATGTGACACCTTTTATTTTAGCTCACTAACCTAATTTTAATT